AATCGCATTGTGAACTCGAAGACGATTTGCGCTTGATTTCTGGTCGTGCGCCTCGTGTGGTTCATGCTAATTGAAGACTGAAAATGGGACCAGTTCGTTATCACCGTAAAGTGCAAGTCGGCGAAGGTAAAGGCACAGTAAAGCGAAAGGAAAATAACTAATTAAGATTTAAAAATAAAGTGAGGAAAACAAACCCTAGAATTGTGAAATGAAATAAGAAGAGAACGGAGAGAAGTGAAGGGAATCGGCGAAGGAGAGAAGAGGGAATGGAGTTTTGCGACACTTTGACATTGAATATAAAGTAAACGTTTGGAATCAGAGAGAGAGGAGAAAATTTGGGGAAGAGGAAGGAATTAGAGAGAGGGAAAATCTCAGGGAAAAAGGGAACGAAATGGAGAAAATAGAAATTATAAGTTTAGGGATTGGGGTTTTTAGGGATTTGGATTTTATATATATTATATATAGTTTAGGGATTTGGGTTTATATGTGTATATAATATTAAGTTTAGGGATTGGGCTTTAGAGATTTGGGCTTTTATATATATATAATATATATAATATATAATATATATATTATATAATATTAATATATATATATTCTATTATATATATATATATATAATATATATATATATAAACCGGTTTGTAAAACCGGTTAACCATTAAAATTAATCTTTAAACGTTAAACGACACGGTTTTTCGGTTATTAATTTTGTAAACCGAAACCGAACGGTACTCCGGATAACAGTTTTTCGAACTGGTTTCAGTCGGTTTTTCGGTTCGGTTCGGTTCGTTGGTGTTTTTTTTTGTAGCCCTAATGTCGAGAGGCAAGATTTAGCCTCATGGCATCGTAAAGGCTAGATGTTCAACGTATAAAGGTCGAATTTGGCTTCTCGATGCCAAAGAGGCCATATCTAACTTAGCCAGTTGATAGAGTTGAATTTGGGCTTGGGTTGTAATACCACATTCAGAAATTGGTAGGGATATTTTATAGTCATAGTGAATATAACTAGTTTAGAGGAATTCCATAAAAGTTTCAATAGGGCAAAATAGTCATTTCACACAGAATCACATGTTCAAGTGAAAAGTGAGTATGATAAATATAATGTATTAAGTGTGCTAGCCATAGAATAGAGTGGTAGAAAGGTTATCGACAATACACGTGATATGATGCCGAGATAAATAAGTGTTTGTAAAGTAATAGAAGAAAATTAAAGAATAAGGGTTAAAATGGTCTTTTCACTCACAACTAGATGAAAAGTGGGGAGTGAAAATGACCAAGAACATGTGTTAAATCCATTGAAAGTGCACGTATGACATAATTGGAATATTATAAAAGTGCAAGGGCAAAATGGGAATATATATATTTAGTTAGTTATAGGGTTCAATAAACTAAACCCTAGCCATTCCATCCCTTGGACATGCCACCCCTCATCCAATTTCTCACACTTCATCACCAAATTTCAAAGAGAATTCATAAGAATTGACTAAATTTTTGTAGATTTCACACTAAAGCATCCAAAGGTAAGATTCTAGCACAAAGGTGTGTGATTAAAGTTTTAAATTCTTATGGTTTATATGATTTAGGTCCAAGAGGAAGAGAATTTTAGCAAAGGGAGGTTATATCATTAGTGTTGCACAAATTCAAGGTAAGTAAATCCAATTTTAGTTTGATTTGAGCATAATTATGTAGATTGATTCTTGTATGTTGTATGTTTGTATGGTGAGAATTATTAGCTGTTTTAATGTTGAATGATGTGTAAAATTCCGGCCATGGAGAAATAGTTCATGTGTATGTGGAGATTGGTGGGAATTATGGATGCAATATGGAAGAATTGTTGATGAAATTTTGAAGTTGAATTCGGCCAGATTTGAAGTTAAATTTAGTGAGTTTTGCTCCAATTTTGGTGGATTTGGAGAGATGAGGGAGTGAGGCCAACTAAGGATTGCTTGTGCATGTGAATTATTTGATGAAAATTTAAAGAGAATGCATGCATGAGTTTGTTAAATTATTGAGAAATTGTTAGAGAAAGGAAAGAATTAGAGCCGAAAGGTTATGTTAGGCTTAACCAAATGTAAATTTTAGTATTCAATAGTGTATTTTGTATGCACAAATTTAGAGTATCACTTGGTCATGTTAGTTCAATGAGATAAATGATTTAGTGCATGGTTCAAGTTACTTGAACCTTAGTATTTCTTCATAGCACATTTATTTAGTTATGAATTAGAAATTGTGAACTTATGACTTGGGAAAGTGTTAGAAGCGATTACATGTTAAATTGTACTTGATATGACATTGTGATATTAGAGATGGTAGATTAGTCATGACATATCAATATGCCATATAATTCTAAAGTTTGAGTACTTGAATTTAGAAAGACATCCAAATAATGGCTTGCCCAATGAGTAATTGTTGTCTTGTTTTGAGATTAATTACAAACAGTATGTAATAAGTGATTTTTTGTCTAAATAATAGAAAAACTTTCCCAAATATAGATATCAAAAGAAACATAAAAGAAATAGAAGTTTAGCTTATGTATTAAATACATGACCATTTTAGAAATTGATTGGTATGAGTATAGTTTTCATGCCTTATTATATATTACAAGCTATAGAATTGTGCTAGAAGATCTTGAGAGTAGGTTGTATTGGCCAAAAGTTTAGTTAAGAATGTTAGAAAAAAATTAGAATTTAACCAAAGTATATATGTTGTGTCATATGTTAGATTGAATTTACAATGATTAATATGGCAATATAGATTAATGTATAGAATGTAGCCAAAAGAAAAGAAGAAAGAAGGGCATGTATAACACTTGAAGTTGATGGTCATGTAAGGGAATGAAAATTTATGGCATTAAGATTTGTATTTAGAAAGTTGTACAAGACATGTTTGTTACATTAGAAAAATATTAGAGAATTGTTTAATGACGTGGTTATGTGACCTATAAGTTTGAGAAAATCTAGTAGCATAATTGGGCAAGTTAGTAGACTTAATACCTATGTTGTAGCATAGCTTTTTATAAAAGAAATTAGATTGCCCAAAATGTAGAATTCATTCCCTAGTAGAATTGTGTTGTTTTAATATCTCACTAATAGAATTATAGAATAGTAGAATTTGTGAGAGTCAATGTACTTGTGTACGTGTACATTTTACATAGCATGATACAATTGAAGAATTACAAAATTATGTAGAAATTATAGAATCGCGTACGTACACACGATGCATAGAATTTAGAAATAAAGAATAAAATAAAAAACGTTTAAGTTAAGCGTGTTATTAGAATAGAACTTTGGGCTTTCCAAAAAAGTATAGAAATAAAAGCCTTAGAATTAATAGAGTACATGCCAGTGTCAGACATGTATTTTGGGATCATGCATAGACAGAATATAAATGCATGACATATATTTCAGAAATTTTATAATTATTGGAAATGTCTAGCTAGTTATTTTGCAGATTTACAAAGCATGTTTTCAAAGGGTTGTTGAAATAGGGAACCTGTAAGCATTCGCTGCGTTAGCTAGTGGCGACAGAGATGCAGAAGTTTCCCACATGCACGCCGCCATCAGTGAGCGGGCTCAGAATAGAAAACAGAATTGTACAGTCTTCTAGAAGTGCATGTAGATAAGGACTGTACCCAGAAAGAATTTCAGAATACGCTCACACGGCCAGGGTTCTAAATCCATACCTCAGCCTAGTCCGATCGGCAAACCAGAACAGAAAACAGAAAGAGTTTCAGAAAGAAAGAAAAATAGAATAAGAAACAGAAAACAGAAAGAAAGAAAAATAGAATAAGAAATAGAAAACAGAAAGAATTTTAGAAAGAAAAGAAAAGAAAAGAATTAGAAAAGAATTTTCAGAAAGAATATAAACATGATCATTTGCATATGCATCAGACATTTTATGCGCATTGCATCTCATGCATTTATGCATAGATTAAACAGTTTATTTTATTATTGCGTGTCCGACTAGCCAAGAAAAGAAAATAGAAGCCCATGAAAATACAGAAGAAAAGAAAATAGAAGCCTACGAGAATAGAAAAGAAATTAAAGATATACAAGAAAAGAACAAAAATTAGATACATGCTAGAAAAAAAAAAAATAGAAATTAGAAGCATGACAAATAGCAAGAAAACTTAGTGATTTGTTGAGTAGAGAAAGAAACAGAAAGTTATAATCTAGCAGAGAAGATAAATAAAGTGATAAAGAATAGCACATCCCTAGAAGGATTTAGAAAGATTTGAGAAAAATAGAAGACTGCTAAGTAGTACGCCTGAGAATAAAGAGAGAAAGCAATCAGAAATTTAGAAGCAGTACAGCGAAAACGGGGACAACAGAGTAAGAGCATAATTAGATTTGGTTTACTTACTGAGCATTAATAGCTCACCCTGTTGCTTTCCTTATTTTTGCAGGTATTAGATTGTAGTGGTTGGGAGACGTCAAGCTGGCGAGAGGATTGTACACACTGTCTCAGTGAAGAAATTTTAATATGGATTTATATATGTGAGAAATAATCTTTGTGTAATAGTATGTTATAACTGGATTAAGGATAAAAATTTTAGATGAACAACCTTTTTAAACTAGCAATTCTCTAGATTCTCTCTATAGGATACTCAGCGAATACTTGTCTAGTGAGACAGTACAAGGCCTCACCTTTGAAGTTGTTAACAATGGTGAGTAGGGAGGAAGGAGAGGGGGCAAAAGAGGAGTGGGGAAAAAGTGAAATTAAAAAAAAAGTTAGACCAAAAAGGATGAAAATTAATCTAGGGTTCAGTTAAATATCAAAATTACCTTCTAGAAAAATGAAAATATCAAGTTTACCTATGCTTCAGTTAACTCTAACGGGCAATATAACGGAATGGGGGTTAAGGTTCCATTTCCCATATGTGCAGGGCTTTTTATATTAGGCGATCTACACGGGGTTTTCTGTAATTATCCCTTTTGATAGGATACCAAATTCCGAAATTCGATTTCTATTTTTATTTTTCAAATTCATTTTCGTAGCTTCCTCTCCCGCTCTTTTACAGTCACACTCTGTCCTTCATGGCAAACATTCAGTTTGATGGAGCAGAAAGGACACCATTCCCCATCCTACCAAGCTCTGATCAAAGCAGGTCCACGCCTGAAACCCCTGCAACAAGTCCAGGCTCGACTCGTCGTCTCCGGTTTTGGTCGCAGTCGATCCCTCCTCACTAAGCTCCTCTCTCTGGCTTGCGCCGCAGGTTCCATTGCCTACGTGCGTCGTCTCTTCTTTTTCATTCCCAATCCAGATGCCTTTCTCTTCGACACCCTCATAAAGCAAACCTCCAAATTCAGTTTCTCTATTGATTCTCTCCTATTTTATCGCCGTATGATTTTATCAAAATTTTCTCCCTCCAACTATACTTTTACAGCTGTGATTAAATCTTGCGCTGATTTATCAGCTTTGAAACTCGGTAGAGTCATTCATACTCATGTTTTTGTACGTGGTTATGGTTTAGATTTACATGTTCAGGCCGCGCTGGTTAGCTTCTACGCGAAATCTTGTAATTTGAGTGTTGCAAGGAAATTGTTTGATAAAATGCCTGAAAAAACTGTTGTCTCGTGGAATTCCATGATTTCAGGGTACGAGCAAAATGGGTTTGCTAAGGAAGCAACTGGGTTGTTCTATTTGATGAGAGATTTGAGCGTAAAACCGGATTCAACAACGTGTGTTATTGTGTTATCAGCTTGTGCTCAGTTAGGGGCTATTGGACTGGGCCGTTGGGTGCACGAGTATATTGTTGCTCAGGCGCTTGATGTGAATGTGGTGCTTGGTACTTCGTTGATTAATATGTATGCTAGGTGTGGCCAAGTTGGTAAAGCGCGAGAGGTTTTTGATTCGATGACAGAAATAAATGTTGTTGCTTGGACTGCAATTATTTCTGGGTATGGAATGCATGGTTATGGTACTCAAGCAGTTGAGCTCTTTCATCAAATGAGAGTTCATGGTAGAAGGCCTAACAGTGTCACATTTGTTGCTGTATTATCAGCCTGTGCTCATGCTGGACTGGTTCATGAAGGGCGTCAGATATTCAAAAGTATGAGGCAAGAGTATGGATTGATGCCAGTAGTGGAACATCATGTTTGTATGGTTGATATGTTTGGGCGTGCCGGATTGCTCAATGAAGCATATGTATTCATCAAAGAAGTGATTCGTGAGAGGCCAGCTCCGGCAGTTTGGACTGCCATGCTTGGAGCTTGCAAGATGCATAAGAATTTTGATATGGGAGTGGAAGTTGCAGAGCATCTCTTATCGGTGGAACCAGAAAATCCAGGCCACTATGTAATGTTATCAAATATATATGCATTGGCTGGTAGGATGGATCATGTAGAAATGGTTAGAAACATAATGATTCGGAAAAGCTTAAAAAAGCAGGTTGGATATAGCACAATAGAGGTTGATCAAAGGACCTACTTATTTAGCATGGGAGACAAATCCCACCCAGACACACATGAAATTTTTCAGTACTTAGATGAGTTGATGAGTAGATGTAGGGAAGCTGGTTATGTTCCAGAATCTGAATGGGTGATGCATGAAGTGGAGGAAGAGGAGAGGGAGTATGCACTTAGATATCACAGTGAGAAGCTAGCAATTGCATTTGGATTACTGAGAAGCAGCCATGGTATGACTATTAGGATTGTGAAAAACCTTAGAATGTGCGAGGACTGTCATTCAGCCATTAAGTTCATTTCAGTTATTACTAACAGAGAAATTATTGTTCGGGATAAGCTTCGTTTCCACCATTTTAAAGGTGGCTCATGTTCATGTTTGGATTACTGGTGATAAATACCGTTAGTTGCAGGTAACACACTGTATTAAATGTTTCTTTATATTATAGTTAAAATTAACCTGTTGCCTTGAATCAAAATTAACATAAAAAATAATCGTAAAGTTAAAATTGGTCAATTATAAAATAGCCAAGTAGAAAACACACGTGTTGGGTGTTGAATCTGAAACTAAATTAAGGTTAAAGTCTTAAAGAGTGAAGTCAAGCTCAAGCCCAAAAAGAGTTAAACATAGATCCTTGAGGTTTGATGTAATAACAAAATCTCTTTGGGCTTTCTAAAATAAAAACAATCCCCAACAATCTCTTACTATTAGTGAGTCGTAATAATAAAAATCTCCTTGAGGTTTCTAAAATAACAACAATCCCCAATAATCCCCTTGCCAATGAGCTATTAGAACATACATTGTTACGATGTAATGAATATTATTAGATTGTCCTTTTATCTTTTTTTTTTTTTTAACACTTTAAAATTTAACAGCAAGGGAATTTTTATTATTCTAGAAACTATAGGGGAGTTTGTTATTACTTATTTAATCATACCTCAGGGAAAAATATTATTGAAGTCTAATATAAAAGTATAAATAGTGAAAATCTCCATGAGGTTTCTAAAATAACAACAATCTCCAATAATCCTCCTACGTTGGTGAGCTATTAAAACTTACATTATTTGGATTTAATAAACATTTACCAAATTTCCCACTTACGCTTTTTTCAACACTTAAGATTTAAAGGCAGAGAAATTTTTATTATTTTAAAAACCTTAAGGGGATTTTTGTTATTTAATCATACCTTAGGGGGAAACGTGTTATGAAGTCTATGTATAAAACTTTAAATCAAAATTGGCCATTCACTATAATCCTAAGTCAAAAGTAGGGGTGGAAAAAAAAAACCCGGAAACTGAACCGGACCGAGAAACTGGACCGAAAATCCGGTTTTTTTTGGGTTTCGGTTCGGATATTAAAAAAAACTGAAAATCCGGTTCGGTTTCGATTTTTGACACAATAAATTCTGATTACCCGGAACCGGTTTTCTAAACCCAAATTTTAAAAAAATTATATTTTAGTTTTTTATTTTGCAATCCCTAACACTCACTAAGTCACTACACTAACTGCAACACTCTAACACTCACTTCAGTCTTCACTCGGCAGCTCCACGCCTCCACTGCTCCAATACTCAGATCTCAGACCTCATTACTCAGACTTAGTCGCATCGGTACTCAGACGCTCACCTCAGTAACTCCAAGTCTCTCACACTCTCAGAGTCTTAGTGACTTAGTCTCTGTCTCTCACTCTCTCTCAGATTCTCAGTTCTTAGATTTGTGTTCTCACTTCTCATGCCAGAGTCACACGATCACGCCTCAGCCAGTAGCCACCGATCTTTGCTCATGCCGCCGATCTTTGCTCACCGATCTGTTGCTCAACAATCGACAATCACCAGTCGCGGTCACCATTCTTCTTCCTTCACCAAGTCTCCACGTCGTCGTCTGTTTCCGGTAGGTGACCTCATCTCTTTGGCTCTTTGCTTTGTATTTCTTGGTGACCTCATCTCTTTGCAATGAACACTGAATAGGAGAGCCCACGGCTCAGATATTTGATGTCCTGTAACATTTTCTGACATGTTAAAAGTTTTCAGGGAACGTTTAGAGAGCATGACCTGAAAGATGAGGAGCTTTTTAGTAAAGTTCTAGCTTCTCATTTGAAGGGTCCGGAGTTGAAGTGAAGATGTTAGAGAAGAAGGAAATAAAATAAAAAAAATAGTAAAGCTATGTGAATATGGCTCCTTTTTGGTTTTAATCATCCGGGTTGAGAAGTTTGGTCTTTTGTTTGTATGATTTGTAATGTGTATCATTTCTTTAATTTGTGTTGATCCTAATCCTGTTAATTTATTTCATCTAGAATAGCAAGCAAAGGAAGAAGATTTATATATTCTGTCTCATTGTGTTCATCTTTTTTCTCATGTTTCAAGTTCAAATATTAAAAGATTATAACATGTTAAACTAGTAAATTTATATATTATGTCCCATTGTGGAGCAGATTTTGCATTTGGAACTAAATTTAGCTTTATTTGATGTACATTAAAATTACATGAATTCAAATTCAATTACAATAAATATAAGTATATAACTTTAATTCAAGTAAAAAAAAAAAAAAAACTGGAAAAATAAAGTGGGGGCCAAAGTGGAGTGTGCGAATTGGGCGAAAAAGACAGCCCATAACTTATGGGTCATAAGTGGAGTGTGCGAATTGGGCCGAAAAGGCAACCCATCATTAATCTTATTAGCCGGTTTAAAAACCGGTTAACCGAGCCGAATTTTCGGTTCGGTTCATAACCGAAACCGGTCCGGTTTTGGTTTAATTTATTTTTAAAACCGAAAACCGGTTTGGTTTAAGCAACTGATTAACCGGTTCGGTTGCCCGGATTTTTCCACACCTAAATTGGAAATAGAGTTTCACTACTAAAAATGCTATTCTGGTGGATAAACAAAGCACCCTTATAACAGAAAAAAATGGAACAGCATTTTAAAATTGAATTTATTTATTGGTTTTCGATTTCGGAAATAGAAGATTTAATGCATTCTATTAGAACTTAAAACTTGATTAAAACGAGTTTTAAATGTTTTCAAAATGAATTTTCAAATAAGATTATAAATCTAAAACCATTTGATTTTTTAATTAGTTTTTTTTTTAATTTACATAAAAGAATGTGAATGACAAAATGGCCCATTGGTGTATTAGCCAGTGGCTCTAAGCTTTTGAAAGGATAATTTAGTAATTTTTCTTTTTTTAGTATCCCAGGGTGTCCGGGTCAACTTGCATGCACCTCAACTAGTTTTATGGGGCTAGTTAGGGGTGTTCAAAAGTCGGTTAACCGTTTTTTTGAACCAAACCGGTTTTTTAGTTTGAAAAAATTCCTGAACCGAAATCAAACCAGTTTGGAGGGAAAACCGGTTTTCCCTTTTTCTTTATAGAACTTATTTTTTTTTATTTTTTCCTAAATTAAATTGTAAATATAAATAATACATATCTAAAAAAAAATTAAACATTCATACATATCAATTGACCACTACTAACAATACATTAAAAATATTATTATTATTTTATTTAATATATAATATATTATATTATTATTTTTTATTTAATATATAATTCTTATTTTATTTAATATATAATATATATATTTGTAAAACCGGTTCAAAAAAAAGGTTTCAGTTAACCGCTTTTTATTTTTTCCCGAACTGAAAATTCAGTTTTTGAATTTTTCAAACCGTAACCAAACCGTTTTTTCAGTTAATCGGTTTTTTGGTTCGATTCAGTTTTTGTATTTTTTTGAACACCTCTATCACCTGAAACTAATGCTTTTTCCCTTGCTAGCTTTCCACCATTAAGACTTGTTTACTTCCTACGCTATTCGATTCGCTGGCATGTCCGGTCTCATACGAAGGAAAGATTAACGATTTCAATCAACCTTTTTTTGTTTTGGTATCTGGGGGTGTTTTGGCCAGTTTGCAACATCTCAACTAATCTTTTAAGATCCTAAAGTTAGCGGTCAGGTAAGTCTTCAGTAATTACCTTTTATTAATAGTTATAAGAATTCAAATTCAAGATCTTTTGAGTAATATATCTAAGAGTTTTAAATAAATCATCAAGCTATCTAAAGATAATTGATTTCAATCTCTATCATGGGAAATCAGTCATGCATAATTTGGACATATGACAACATTTTCACTAGTTATGTAGTTCAATTTAATTCGAGTAATGCTACAATCATTGACAGTAATACATCGAATGACATGATAAAATCCTGACTGTTAATTAATATTAAATTAAAATTAATTAATGGTCAGAATTTTATTATGTCATTTGGTATATAAATTCGATACACTACCTTCGGTAGCCTGTATTATTTTCCAAAATGGAAAAGAAACATTCGGATTCCATGAACATTAATGAAACATCACACTCCAAATCCCAGTCCCCACCTGAATGTTACCTTCAATTTGCACATGCTGATCTCACCTTTCGTTGGATTTTCTTTGTTGTTTTTTTTTCATGTTGAGTGTGTTCCCCAAAGTTATAAGCACCATTCTACCTCTCTAACTCCTCATTTATCTCCTTCAATCCATCAATCCTCCATGGCTTTCTCCAATTTTCTCTCCTTCTTTTTAACTCTCTACTTGTTTATGCCAACACCCATTTCCTCTTCTCTTTTTTTAAGCTCAGAAGACTTGTCTAAAATCCCTGTCAAATTCCTCGACTTTGCCAAGAAACCTGAGATTTTTGACTGGATGGTGAACATTAGAAGGAAACTTCATGAGAATCCTGAACTTGGTTTTGAGGAATTTGAGACTAGTAAACTTATAAGAGCTGAGCTTGATGAGATGGGCATCCCTTATAAATACCCAATTGCTGTTACTGGTATTGTTGGTTATATTGGGAGTGGTGAGCCGCCTTTTGTTGCAATCAGAGCTGATATGGATGCTCTAGCTATTGAGGTCTGTTTAAACTTTACTTACTTCTTGATTGCTTTTATTACTGCCTTTGTAAATTGCTATTGCTAACACACCTTGTGTTGGAGTTGGGTGATCATTGAAACATAGATGTTTATGTTACTGCGTTAGTGTTGAAACAGGAAGCTGTAGAGTGGGAGCACAAGAGTAAAGTTCCTGGTAAGATGCATGCTTGTGGGCATGATGCTCATGTTGCTATGCTTCTTGGTGCTGCAAAGATGCTTCAAGAGCTTCGCCGCGAATTGAAGGTTCTTTTCTTTTTCCTTTATTGCTCTTTATATATGATAGTATGATTATTGATTGTCTGATTCTCCAGTTACAGAACTTTTGATATCTTGATGACATGGGATTGTTTAATTGCGTGGACATAGTGATCACTTGTATTAAAAAGTGTTAAGTAGTCCCATTAGAATTTGTTGCATGCTCTCTTGACACGTCTGACATGCTGAACTGAATGGATTATTTTGATTTCCTAGAAGAATTTAAACCATCTTCCTTTTGAATAGTTATTCTGGTTTGTGGATATTAGCTCTCTGACTGGAGGAAGAGATAGGGATGGGAGGGGAAGCGTAGAGGTGAAGAAAAAAATTATTGTACTTGGTTGATAGGATGGAAAGGAGAGCGTCTCTCCTTTTTAACTTTTTGGTGATCCTTGAAGAGGGAAGCGAGAAAGGCCAATGTTATATTGATCCATATCTTTTAATATTTATGTGTGATAAGGGTAAAATCATAAACTGATTTTCAAGTATAATAGACTATTCTCAGTCTCTCATCCATCCAATTATGGGGTGATTGTGTTTTGTATGTTTGGAGGGATTGCAAATCTTTCTCATTCACTTTCCTTTCATCATCTCTTTCCAACCAAACAGTTCAAATGGTCTATCCTCAACCATTATCTTTTCAACTTGTTTCGCTATATACTTTTTTGTTCCCTTTATCGGTGGACTTTGAATAATTTAGTAATTTTAGTTTTTGGAAATCATTATTTATTCAAATTGCTGACTAATACAGACATTACAGTGTATATCACATCATGAACTCTGTTGTGATGTGATCTGCAGGTTTTGCCTCATGAATGAGTTGTTCCTAACCACGTTGATGGTAAATGATTATCAGTGTGCTTATAAATTTGTTGCACTTGATAAACTGTGGGAAAGAGTGGTGATGGTGTGTGGACAAATATAACTATAAACTTATATCTATTTTGTATGTGGGTATCCAAACTGCACCTAGAGGAAGTCTACTGCTTGTTGTGGACTAGGAACCTTCTTGAAAATATAAAATCTACCAGATTCAGTATGAATATCTCACTCTGCATTTTGTGCTTAATTCTTCACTTGTTTTTCTTGCGTGCCTATTGTAAAAGAGTGAAGTGCTACCGCTGCAACTGTCACTTGTATAAATTTCACAGTTGCTGGAGTAATAATATTGTTCAAATGTAACATTTTGTGTTGTTAGGTAGGGACATTACTCAAGGATTCCCCATGCATAAGAAGTTCTTGCTGTCCCTTCTTTGCCCTTGTGCTATGTCATTTATACTGGGAAACATCCTTTTTGCCCAAAAAAGAATAACATTTATGCTATCATATACATACTCGAATCCTTTCTTGATCTAATTTTACATGAGAATTTAAGGATATGTAACACGTGCATCTAAAATCATGTCTGATCATTATATATTTCATTTACTATTTTCCTTTTTATTCATACCAATTACAAGCCTATATTTTCTCAAATGAAAGCTCATATGAAGAGAAAATACCAGCATGTATGGGTGTGTATGTCACTTTATCTGTTAGCCCACGAGAGATAATGCAAGTATCCACTCTGTTCAGAAGAAAATATTGTGAAAAATTCTTGTTTTGATAGGGAACAGTCGTGCTAATTTTCCAACCAGCCGAGGAGGGATTTGGTGGCGCAAAGCAAATGTTAGATGCTGGAGTGCTAGAGAACGTTGACGCCATCTTTGGGCTTCATGTCTCTTCAAAATTCCCGATTGGCACAGTAGCCTCCAGGTCTGGCCCTATTATGGCTGGAAGTGGTTTCTTTGAGGCAATAATCAGTGGAAAAGGGGGGCATGCTGCCATTCCTCAGCACACGATAGACCCAATCTTAGCAGCTTCTAACGTGATTGTTAGTTTACAACATCTAATTTCACGTGAAACTGATCCCTTGGATGCAAAGGTAGTCAGTAGTCTCTCTCTTATAAGTCTTATTTGTATAAGCAAAAAAAAAAGTGTCTTTTATCCTACATCCCATGATTTTACGCATTGTTTTAAACCTGTTTTAGTTTTGTCATCAAGTCTTTGACACCCTATAGTCTATGATTCGATACGCTTATGGTTTAATTGAAAAGTTTGATTTTTGTTTCTTCATGATTATAGTTATACCATCTTGCTATTCGCCTTAGAGAACAAACTTGAATATTTAAAACAAAATACATCTACTGTAGATCACATTCCATTAAAAGATCTGTGGCTATATTTAACAATAGTTGACTAAGGGATTTTACTGCCATTTGGAAGTAGTATCATTTACATGTTTTTGTCCTCAGGTTCAGTCAAAAGGTAAATAGTTTTAAATTATTTTTCTGTCTTCAATTTCTAGCTTAAGATAGACATTTCCATATAGAATGCTCACTGCTTCCAAATTGGAGAATAAAGAATAAATAAACATTTTTCATTTCCATGTTCTGTCAAATCATTTACTAAACAAATGGAAATAGAATAATAAGAGGCTTCTGAGGTGCCCAACGCATGGCAATGCTTTTTCAATTAGTGATTCCAATATTAAAGCGTAATTTTGCAGGTTGTAACAGTTGCAAAGTTCCAAGGAGGTGGTGCCTTCAATGTTATTCCTGATTCTGTTACAATTGGTGGTACGTACAGGGCATTTACAAAAGAAAGCTTCGTTCAACTTAAGGAAAGAATTGAAGAGGTATACTCGTTAACTGATTCTGGTTTGCATGCTCCCTTCAATTCTAAAGTTGAAAAGTTCTGCAGTCTTTTCATTATTCTTCGTTCTTCCCTCTGGGTGGTGAAAGATGGAGTCATAGAACTCTTCAAATTATTTTTTTTAATAATAGTCTCCCATAGGTATTAATTCTCTCACAATTCAAGTGACAGGTTATCATGAAACAAGCTAGTGTGCAGAGGTGCAATGCAACAGTCAACTTTAATGCAAATAATATGACCAGTTACCCAGTGACGGTAAATAACAAAGAGTTGCATGAGTACTTCCTAAGTGTTGCCAGAGACATGCTGGGTCTTCACAACATCAAAGAAAAGCAACCAGGGATGGGTGCGGAAGACTTTTCATTTTTTGCCGAGGCAGTTCCAGGATACTTCTTCTACATTGGTATGGATGACAAGATGAAAGGGCAGTTTGAAACAGGACATTCACCTTACTTCAGGATCAACGAAGATGCACTTCCGTATGGTGCTGCCCTACATGCATCATTGGCTTCAAGATACCTCTTGGAAAATCGACCCAAATCTTCTTCACCAAAGGGAACCCTTCATGACGAGTTGTAAGGAGCTCATACATTATTGATACGAGTCAAGTATTTCACTTATGCAAAGCACTACCACGATATTGAACTGCATTTAAGACCAGTAGAAACAACTGCCATCTGTAAATTTCACTTATTACAAGTAATTTCAACCAATCAACTTTATGTTGAATTCGCTTTAAATATGATAAGTATGATCTATTGATGTAGTTGCAATGAACTTAATACGCTTGATCCAGGTCTATTCTCAGATTTTGCTCAAAAACCGGGTTCTTTGGCCAACTATTCCAATTATAGATGAAAATGTGGAGAGGAAAAACAATAGGCATCAAGTTCTCTTTTTTCTTCCCTTTGCCGTTGAAGTTAGATAAAAGTGCTTACCATAAAAATCAGAGTTCAATTCTGGCAAAATTAAGCAATCTGCCGAAATTGGATTCTCTTTGAACATTATCGCCATCTTCATAAAGGAAATACAGTTGCCATTACGAAATCTCAAACAAATAAAAGAAAGTGCTAAATAAATGATTCTTTACGTGATTGTGTCAACTCTCTCTTCTCTCACCCAAAGCCTAACACGGTACTTAATGCATAATCATGGCCTAAAAACCAGCATATTAATTGCAATCTATAGTTACTTCTAATCCTCATATAATGAATTTAGTATATAGCAAAACGGAGCCTTTCAATTTCAAGTCCATACATCATAATACTAATTCTAGTTTCACATCTACAGATCTTATCACCATGCAATACTTTAAACCAAAATCCTTGAATCTTACTTCAGATCACAGACTTCCAACTCACACCATTTCTGCAGATGTTGCTAATGCAAGACTCCAGAGTTCTTCTCCAAATCGCAGACCATCCACTGTACCATTATTTTCGCCCTGTATTGATAAAACAAAACATAGAAGCAATGATGATGATAAAAATCATGAACGGTTTTGGAAATCATTGAGGCCTTTTTTGACGTTCTTTAGTCGAAGAAAATCGAAGCCTAAAAATACAGAGGCATCAAGAAGGAATTGTAGCGATGAATCAGTGAGATCTTCACCAGTTCATGGCAGCTGTTACAGTGCAATGGACTCAGAAGATCGTAAAGAGCATCTAAAAGAAGTCATTTCCTATTGCAAGAATTCCTGGGATCAGGTAATTCTCTTTCTTCTAATTGTTTTTTACTGCACTTCGCATGAGACTTTCTTTTCATTGGTATTTTTGTTCGTGTATCCAGGGTGACCAAAATGTATCTCTGCGGAAGTTAAGTCCTCGTTCCCATTGATAATTATGAAATCTGTTTATAGTCGAATGACACCAAACAGGGAGTTAAATACTTCATTTTATGTACACATCTTAATCAGCTTTATGTCAATCATAAAATTGACAGTTTAAACTCGCAAACAATGTCCTATTTGATTTAATTTCAACCGATTTTGAACGATCTGGGTATTAAGAAGTAACGAGCAATGTTAACTTATCAACTTGTTCGAATATCACCTACAGCTCTATCATATGAACGCCTAGTGCTCTATAAAGATCTTCATCTATCAAACACCCCAGAATTTCAACCATCCTTCCCTCACCTCATAAAAGATGTTTAATCACTGTATTAAGTATGTCTAGCAGCTGCTTAAGTGATTTGCAGGTCCAATATGAATAGCTTCGATATCAAACAGTCAACCTCACGCTGGAATGAAGGCAAAAAATCAGATACAGAGGCTTCCGGTCTTCAACAAGCAGAGCCACAACATTTTACTAAGTCCTCATCTTCAACATCTCTTCACAATGCACGGGTTACAACTTACAAGAACCAACAATCAAAAGTTATTGTATTTCCGTCCTTCCGCTCAAGAACTACAAGGATATGCAAACAGTCGAGAGATTTGTACGGGTCTAAGAATTTTAAGGAAAAGGGTGAAAATGGAAGGCCAGGGGTACACTAACTTTTGAGTTGATAGGTCAAGAGGTTGAAATTCAACAAAAAATGGGTTTATCACTTGTCTGCTTTGCTAACTTACATTGTATTTTGTTGACAGTAACGAAAAATGCATCTGGTCTTTAATCCATGACAATATAAGTGGAAACTGTTACTCTTTAATGTGTTCTTGCAAGGCAATTAGGTTTTCATTGACATTGATATAACAGAGCCAAATTCTAATATGGACGCTACAGAAGATTCTTAAGCTTAAGCTCAACGCTTCCTTTGGCTCTCTAGTGAAGGACAGAAGAAAGGAAATCATCAATCAGTGAGCTGTGAGCCGACAGAAACTACTGATAAGTACATCATATGAAAGCTTCTGAATTTCATACACACAGATGCCATTTTAACTTAAGCAATTTGGCAAGGAATGAAAAGAAAACCCATAACATTCTGAAAGTAAAATCACATGATATATAGCTAACACCAAAATGAACACAAATTCAACAACGTTAAACCATTATATCAGTAACTAAATCACCATAATAAGTCTTAAAACAACAATGAAAACTCATCAAAAACACTAAGCAATGCTTAGACCTATCTAACCCTTCACCCTTTCAAGCTTTACTTCTCGGATGAGTTGGGTCCCCTCTTCTTTCCAAAACCAACAACTGCGAAATCAACAAAGAATAATCATCAGCACATGCAAACAACTCCTGCCTGCTAAAAAATTTCTCATCTGGGATCCGTTTGACTAACAGTAATATCTCAATTACAAATTTCATTTTTCCGTAATCACATAAAACATATTCACTTGATTATAAACACAACAAAGCTTGATTATAAACAGAACTATCATTCAATCGACTTGTTCAACTTTATTTCTATTTCTAATAGTTAAAAATCAATTCATCTGACTGAGCAAAAACGACAGCTTAGAACTGCAGAACTACCTAATAAACGGTCCATGCTAAATTAACGATTTATTATATAAAAAGAGGGGAAGAATCACCTGCTGTGACGAAACGGCGGTTGTATTGCATGCGCTTATGGGCACGGCCGCGTGGCTTCTTCTTCTTGTCTTGCTTAGCCACTTTTGGCGTTTGTCCTCTCACCTTACCGGCACGGGCCAAAGAACCGTGAACCTTACCTAATAAAAGGTCAAGTAAAATATAAACAGAATGATCAGAACAACGAGTTCGTGATTCAAACGACAAACACCACGAAAATAGCAAACAGTAGATCTGAAAAGTTAAAGTATCCTGGTGTTTTGAATTTACCCATTGGTGATTGCTGAAATCTGCTGCTGCTGCTAGTTGCTGTCGTGCTCTTCTCTCGCTTTGAGCAGAGGCTAAGTTGAGCAGGAGAACAAGAAGTGTAGGGCTAGGGTTTTGGCTGAGTATATAAAGTATCATTGAGTATATTGGGCCGGATTACAGCCCAATATGACTATTCTCAAACAAAGTCGGTAATTCATTTAAGTCCAGGAAATTTGGACCTGGGCTCTCTGCTTATTATATTGTAAACCCTATTTAATACCAAAACACTCCTGTTTAATTAGGGTTTTTATTTGCACCAAATTTCTCCCAATTTCAAACTTATTTTCTACATTAGGTTTTTCTATTTGTATCTATTTTTCTCAGTTTCAAATTTGAAACTTATTTTTTTTTCTTCTGATTTAGAATCATTTTATTGTGTAATTATTTTCTCTATAACTTTAATAATATATTTTCATCAAACAAAGAATTATTTGAAATAAAAAATAAATGTTTATTGATTTAGGAATTTTAGATTTAAGCTTTAGGTAAGAACTAAAACTAAAAATAAGTAAATTTAGAAATTATTAAAGCATCGAGATTAAACTTATCAAAACAAAAATACACTTCTCAATGCAAATTTCTGTGATTCGTTTTCTTATTTTAATATAATACAAAGTTAGACTATGACTGAACCAATATAATAACGTTAATAAATGTAGCTAACTCAAAAATTCTTCAAAGGTTTGAATTTGTTGTGTGTAATTTTTCCATCAAGCTTAGAGAATTGCGAGGTAATAGCTCGACCCAGAATCAGTCCGACTCTACTGATTGTCCGACCCAGCGTAAGCTCGTCGAGTTGTAGCTCGACCTAGCATAAGCTAGTCATGACCAATCCTTATAGTTGTTCAACCAGTTCACGGATAACTCTAGATCTTAGATATCTCGAAAGGGATCAAATCAACAACAATCCTAGTGCAATTTTAGCACTCAATCACGAGAATATCAGAGCTGCATTTCAATTTTAATTGTAATCCCTTTATTTTCGCTTTTTCCTTTGTACATGATATGTATATAAACCCCATCCAACGATGAGAAAGGGTTGAAAAATTATTCTAAGATTATCATTGTAAGCTCTCCCAGCAAATACAATAACAGTGGACGTAAGCTCAAGAGTTTATCTCGCCGAACCACTTTAAAAATCTTTTTGCCATTTACCTTACTGCATTCACTATTCATTCATTGCTAGTTATCTGTAATCATGCACACATCAGTTTCAATCTCATCAAGGTCGATTGGATCATTTTAGTTGGTACAGATTTCTGTATCAACATTTTGGTGCTAGAAGGAAAGCCTCCGCCAACATCTCAGAATTCTGGCAAACAGCCATAGCGATTTAATCAGTCTAGGCCCACAATGGTGCATACAAGATTAAAAACCACCACCGGAAACCACGACAATGTGGAAACCACCCATCAGAAAGTGTAACAGGACGTTGACCACCTGTGCTGCCAACTCAGGATACTGCAAATAACCAAGGGGCAGGGACGTCAAACCCCAAAAACGGCCAAATGGTGGAGATGATCACAACAATGGTTGCACAGGCGGTGCAACATAACGTGGTTGAGTTGAGAAATCAGCAACCAAACGCACAAAACCTTGACCGACCACACTTCACTGATATCACCTCGACAAGTGAAAATTCAACTGGTGACCAATCTGGATCATCGGTGCCGAGGGGTGACCGACACCCCTGACGTCATAGAGTACACTCCGCTCATGAGCATGAGTCCCGCAGGCAAACTAACCCTGAGAGGCGGCCAGGGAAACAACCAATGGGTGAAAGCAAAGGTAATGATCGCCCTTGAGACGCTCAACCTACCGACAATATCCCCAACGTCAGTGCACCGGTCTTAACCCATGCCTAAGACAAGCTAGATCTTCGCAAGCTCACAAAACAAGTCATGTGCGCCAATCTGGCAATGACCAACTTTCCAGTTATAACTGACGTTACGAGCAACGCACTAACGAACATGATAACACCTATCAACCAAGCCATTATGACTCAACTTCATGCATCAATGCACATAA